TTTTTGGGTTTTTTTTTTTTTTTTTTTTTTTTTTCCGGCAAAACCGGGACCATTTTGGGCTTTTTGGGGAGATTTTTTGGGGGCATTTTAGGGCTTTTTGGGGGGTTTAGGGGAGGTTTGGGGGGGTCTCGAGGTGCTCAGGTGTTTTTTAGTCACACCTGTCTGAGGAGACCCCAAATTTGGGGTTTTGGGGTGAAATTGGGGTTTTTTTAGGGTGAAATTGGGGGTTTTTTGGGGTGAAATTGGGGGTTTTTTGGGGTGAAATTTGGGTTTTTGGGGGGATTTTGGGGGATTTGAGGGCAGTTTTAGTGGGGGGTTTAGGAGAGGCTTTGGGGGAGGAAATGTTGGGAAATTCGTGGAGATCTTGGGGTAACTTTGAGGAATTTTGGGAGATTTTAGAGATTTTGGGGAATTTTTGGAGTTTCCTCCACGCCTGGGGGCGCTTTGGGGTTCTCCATTAAACCCTGAACTCCTCCCACAGCCTCCTCCTCTCATTCACTGCCGCGCCGGGGCTTTTGGCCTCTTTGGGGGGTGGATTTTGGGCCATTTTGGGGATTTTTTGGGATTTTTTTGGGGATTTTGGGATCCCAAACCAGCAACAAAATCAGCGGAACTCAAGTTCAGGAAACACTTGAAACCCGGAAGGGAGAGGAAGTGACGCACCGGAAGTGGCCGGAAGGCGCTGAGGGGACACCGGAAGTAGCGAGGCCACGCGGCGGCGGCGGGATGGGGCGGCCCGGGAAGGTCGGGAGCAAAAATCGGGAAAAATTCGGGAAAAAACGGGAAAAAAACGGGAAAAACTGGGAAAAACCGGGATGGGGAGGGCTCGGGGGAGCGGCGGGGCGGCGGGAGTGGCGGCGGCAGCGCGGAATGAGGCGGGAGCGGCGGGAACGCGGAATTTTGGGAATCGTGAGGGGAAAAATCCCCAAAATTTGGGAATTCTGAGGGAAAAAAATCCCCAAAATTTGGGAATTCTGAGGGGGAAAGTGGGATCGGGGGGAGTGGTCTCGGAATTAAAAAAATTTGGGGTTTTCAACCCATTTTGGGAGGAAAAAATGGGAATTTAGGGTTTGGGGTCTCAGAATTTTGGGGATTTTGGGGTCGCTGGTGGAAATTTGGGATCAAAATTCCCCAAATTCCCAAATTTTGGGATTTCCACTCCATATTTTTTATAAAATCGGGATCTGGGGTCCCAAAATTCCCAAATTTTGGGATTTTCAGCCCAATTTGGGTTCAAAAATTGGATTTTAGGGTCAAAAGGGGCTCAAAACTCCCAAATTTTGGGTTTCTCTGGTGGAAATTTGGGATCAAAATTTCCAAATTTTTGGATAATTTGGGATTTTTTGGGATAATTTGGGAATTTTTTTTCCTTCCAGAGCCATTTCCAGTGGAATTTGGGGCTGAGAATTCCCAAATTTTGGGATTTTCAGCCCAGTTTGGGTTCAAAAATGGCGATTTTAGGGTCAAAAGGGGCTCAAAACTCCCAAATTTTGGGGTCTCTCAGGACCACAACTGCCAGAACTCCCAAATTTAGGGACAATTTATGCTAATTTATGCTAATTTATGCTAACTTGGGACGATTTCTCCTCCCCCAGAGCGAGCAGCTTCTCTGTCCCTCACTGCTGCCCGGTCCCGGTGGGGATTTGGGGACAATTAATGACAATCCACAACAATAGCTGATCATTTATGCTAATTTATGCTAATTTATGCTAA